TGTGAGATAATAAGCAGTAACTGGAAAACAGTTCTCTGTTAAGATTAAGAGGTGGTCACAAGAGGAAATGAACCAAAAAGCTTCCAGGGAAAATAGGCAATGCAGACAAAGAGCAGGATGCTGTGGGTTAGCTGGTGTCCCCAGAGAAAACTCAGCTGTCAGCACGATGCTAAACCTCCCGAACCCCAAACCGCTGCTCATCTGTAATCCTGAAGCAATTTAGTTCAAGGGAAGACTGGTAGGAAAAGCAGACAGTTTTTGAGTCCCTTATGTTTTGGCTCCCTCCCTCTCTAACCAATTTGACAATAAATTTCGTATTTAAAAAAAAAAAAAAAAAAGAAAGAAAAGCAGACAGATAGAAGCGAAACGCCATGAACATGGGTTTCTGAAAGGACTACTGGATTTACTGAGACCTATGGCCTTCTGTCAGGCTGCACTTCTCTACCCATCACCATCTTCTGGAACCCCAAGGGGTAGGACCAGGGGGCAGAAGACCTGAGTATGGGAATAGGGAATAGTAGAGTCTATTCACTGAAACAAAGCTTTAGAGTTTAAAACTGCATTCAGAAGTTTTTGGACTTTTTTCTTTTTTCTTTTTCTGAAAGACTGTCTAACCCAGTATAGGAGGTGACTTCTGGAGCTGGACTACCAGGGCTCAAATCCCTGTTCCATCTCTTGCTACTTATATAACTTTGTCGGTCAAGGCCAACTGGCATATCTTCAGTCAGCCTCCTCCTTGTTAGCTAAAGATGGTAACAACAGAGTTTACATTATAGAGAGTGTTTACAAACACAAGTTGAGAGACAGAATGCAGAGAAAATGTTTAGTCCTGTTCCTGGTCCATTTTGGATACTCAGTATCAGCTGTTATTATTATTTTTTTTTTAATTTTTTTTTTCAACGTTTATTTATTTTTGGGACAGAGAAAGACAGAGCATGAACGGGGGAGGAGCAGAGAGAGAGGGAGACACAGAATCAGAAACAGGCTCCAGGCTCTGAGCCATCAGCCCAGAGCCTGACGCGGGGCTCGAACTCACGGACCGCGAGATCGTGACCTGGCTGAAGTCGGACGCTTAACTGACTGCGCCACCCAGGCGCCCCTGTTATTATTATTTTTTACAGCTTGATTTAGATACAATTAACATGCTGAACAATTAGCTATTTTTATTAAATTTTTAATTTTGATTCCAATATAGTTAACATGCAGTGTTATATTAGTTTCAGAGGTATGCTACAGTGAGTCAACAATTCCATACATCACCCACTGCTCACCATGGCAAAGGCACTCTTTAATCCCTGTCACCTATTTCGCCCATCCCCCCACCCACTTTCCCTCTGGTAACCATCAGTTTATTCTCTTTAGTTAAGAGTCTGTTTCTTGGTTCGTTACTTTCTTTTTTCCTTTGTTTCGTTTCTTAAATTCCACATATGAGTGAAACCATATGGTACTTCCTTCTCAGATTGCCTTCTTTCGCTTAGCATCATACTCCAGCTCCATTTGTGTCATTGCAAATGGCAGAATTACATTCCTTTTTATGACTGAATAATGTTCAGTTGTGGGTATGTGTAGATGTCTTCTTTATCTATTCGTCCATCCATGAACACTTGGGCTACTCTCATAATTTGGCTATGGTAAATAATGCTGCAGTTAACACAGGGGTGAACAGATCCTTTAGAATTAGTGTTTTCATATTCTTTGGATACTCAGCAGTGGGATTATTGGGTCACAGGTAGTTCTATTTTTAATATTTTGAGGAACCTCCATTTTTTTCCACAGTGGCTGCACCAATCTGCCTTGCCACCCATGGTGCAAGAGGGTTCTTTTTTCTCCACATCCTTGCCAACCCTTGTTGTTTCTTGTGTTGTTGATTTTAGCCATTCTGACAGGTGTGAGGGGATACCTCATTGTAGTTTTAATTTGCATTTCCCTGATGATGAGTGATGTTAAGCATCTTTTCATGTGTCTGTTGTCTTCCGTATGTCTTCTTTGAAGAAATGTTTGTTCATGTCCTCTGCCTATCAGATGTTTTTTTTTTTTTTTAATTTTTTTTTTCAACGTTTTATTTATTTTTGGGACAGAGAGAGAGAGAGAGCATGAACGGGGGAGGGGCAGAGAGAGAGGGAGACACAGAATCAGAAGCAGGCTCCAGGCTCTGAGCCATCAGCCCAAAGCCCGACGCGGGGCTCGAACTCACGGACCGCGAGATCACGAGATCCCGCGAGATCGCGAGATCGTGACCTGGCTGAAGTCGGACGCCCAACCGACTGCGCCACCCAGGCGCCCCCTATCAGATGTTTTTTGAGTGTTGAATTGCAGAAGTTCTTTATATACTTTGGATATTAGCCCTTTATCGGGTATGTCATTTGCAAATATCTTCTCCAATTCAGAAGGATGTCTTTTAGTTTTGTTGATTGTTTCCTTTGCTGTGCAGAAGTTTGTATCTTGATGTAGTCCCAATAGTTAATATTTGCTTTTATTTCCCTTGCCTCAGGAGACATATCTAGAAAAATGTTGTTATGGCTGATGTCAGACAAATTACTGCCTGTGCTCTCTTCTACAATTTTTATGGTTTCAGGTCTCACATTTAGATCCTTAATCCATTTTGAGTTTATTTTCTGTATGATGTTAACAAAATGTCCAGTTTTTCAACACCAATTGTTAGAGAGACGTTTTCTCATTGCATATTCTTGCCTCTTTTGTAGAAGATTAATTGACCACATAATTTTGAGTTTGTTTCTGGATCTTCTATCCTGTTCCATCGATCTAGGTGTCTATTTGTATGCCAGTGCCATACTGTTTTGATTCCTACAGCTTTTCAGTGTAACTTGAAATCTGGAATTGTGATGCCTTCAGCTTTTTCAAAATTGTTTTGGCTATCCAGGGTCTTCTGTGGTTTCATACAAATTTCAGGATTGTTTGTTCCAGCTCCAGAGAAAAATGCTGTTGGTATTTTGATAGGGATTGCATTCAATGTATAGATTGTTTTGGGTAGTATCACATTTTTAACAATTTTGCTCTTCTAATCCATGAGCCTGGAATGTCTTTGCATTTTTTTTGCATCATCTTCAAGTTCTTTCATCAAGGTTTTACAGTTTTTAGAGTACAGTTCTTTCACCTCCTCAGTTTATTCCTAGATATTTTACTATTTTTAGTGCAAATGGAAGTGTTTAATTTCTTTCTGTTGTTTCCTTGTGTATAGAAATGCAATGGATTTCTGTACATTGATTTTGTATCCTGTGACCGTACTAAATTTATTTATCAGTTCTAACAGTTTTTTGTTAGACTCTTTAGGGTTTTATATATATAATATCATGTCATCCACAGACAGTGAAAGTTTCACTTCTTCCTTACAGATCTAGATGTCCTTTAATTCCTTTTTCTTGTCTGACTGGAAGCTAGGACTTCCAGTACTATGTTGAATACAGTCTTCTTCCTGACCTTAGGGGAAAAGCTCTCAACTTTTCACCACTGAGTATGATGTTTGCTGTGGGGTTTTCATATTCGGCCTTAATTATGTTCAGGTATGTTCCCTCTAAACCTACTTTGTTGAGGATTTTTATCATGAATGTTTGTCAAATGCTTTTTCTCAATCTATGGAAAGAATCATATGATTTTTATCCTTTCTCATATTGATGTAAATTAGCCATTCTTTTAAAACACATCTCTCCTGTCCCTAAACCACCTAGAGCCCATAGTTTGGACAGGTGCAACTACAATGTGTTGTCATTTAAATAAGGTAACTTTTCACTCCGATTCTGTTCCACACCTCCACCCCTAGGAAATAATTAGGTACTATTTAGGCAGGCCCCAAATAATGGTAAGGTCATGAACAAAGAGGGCAGAATTAGAGACCCAAACAGTGGTGTCAAAATGTTGTAACACAGGATTTTCTTCATCAATGCTGACAGCAAGCTTTAGTGACATTACCTGGAAATGTACTGTGATATGCTACCTGCTGTTAAGGACTGGATGTTTGCATCCTCCCCAAATCCTTATGCTGAAGTCCTAACCTCTAACGTGATGGTATTTGGAGGTGGGCCTTTGGGAGGTAATTAGAGTTAGATGAGGTGGTGAGGACGGGACCCAGTCTGATAGGATTAACCCATTATCATAGCCTTAGAAGAGACAGCAGACAGCTTGTGTACACCCATCCCCCCATGTGCACGTAAAGAGCAGGTCACGTGAGCGCACAGCCAGCCGGCTACAGCCTCCCGGCCAAGAGAAGAGATCTCAGGATGAAACTTACCTTGCTGGCACTTTGATGTTGGACTACTTTGCCTCCAGAACTGGGAGAAAATAAATGTTCAACCCACCCCACCCCATTTATGGCATTTTGCTATAGTGGCCGGTGGCCGAGCAGCCTACCACACCTGCTATTCTTCAGCTTAGTTTACCAGAAACAAAAGGCAGCAGGGGGCTCAGGACCGCCCAAGACGTGAAGAAGCCATGTTTTGGGGGGGGGGCTGCCTTATGGGCCTGCCACACGTTTTCTTTTCTCAGGTCATGTAGAAATAACTTTCGTGGAGAAAGTTTTCAGAGAGATGAAAAAGAAGGGCTAAGAGCTGCACTGTGACTTCGTTTTCAAAGTGCCATGGGTGCCAAGGGGATTCTGTAAGAAATATTCTTAGAAGAGCCCCACCTGGGGTTTGAGAGATCTTGACACTTGTGTGTGTAGATTCTTCCTTCTTACACAAGTCAGGAGGGGATCGACAGAGTATAATTATGACACTTCAGCAAGAGTAAGGCGAGGCCAATGGGTCCCTTCCAAGAAAGCATTTGCCTGTCAGCTGCAAGGAAAGGGGAATTCTGCAATCTCTGAAGGGCTCTTTGTTGAAAGTTTCTATTTGATAATTATGCTGTCTGAAGATTTTCTGACAAAAGTCCTGCTTTGTTTAGAAACCATGCAGTCTTGCTCTTTTGGGTTCAACAAAAGAGTAGGAAAAAAATTGTCTCAGTATAAGGTACTGAATAAGGTACAAGAATGCTGTTTGTGCTCACAGGACCTTAATTTCACGTCCAAGGGAATCTATAAAAGGATTCAGAAGATACCCCCAGAAGCTTGTCCACAGGTAAGCATAAACCCCCCCACCCCAGCCAAGGATGCAGACCACACCCACCCCCCTAAATGTGAGTCCTTCCAGTCCCAGGGCTCCACTGAATAACCCCACTTCAAGCAAAGGGCTAAAAGCAGTATGACTATGACCTAGGTAACACTAAGAATTGCAATGAATTGCTAATAAATGGAGAATTAAAGCCTAGACTACCATCTGTCTTTTCAGATCTTGCACAGTCCATTTCATTGCAATAAAAATAGCCCAAATGCCCAGAGAAAGAATCTCTGATTGCCAAAGAATCTAAAATCCTCACCCTGCCTTACCCAGATTCTTTCTACATTTCCCCAACACGCAGCCTCTCTGCTTGAACATGTGAGTCATGGGCCGTAGGACCTTCTTCCTGGAAGCCTTCTTCTCAGTTCTTCAGTCAAGGTCAAGGCCCATTTCACACACCCTCTCAGATATGGATTAGGCTGTAGTGATGACAAGTTCAGTGGGCACTGGGGAGGGAGGGAGGAATAGGACACAGTCCAGAGAAAGGCAGGCTCGCAGACCACGGGTGCCATTCTCAGAATAGCTCATCAGATGCTGGTTAAAGGAATGGTATTTCTGAATTTGGCTTTCATGGGACACAAGTGCCATGATGCACTGTGTGTTCATGTATGCCTGCCACAATGTCCTCTCCGAGCCTCACAGGACATGTATGTAACCTGAAGAGATAAAGAAGCTCCCTACTTAAACCTGTTTAACCCAGCATTTCCCCCAATGTATTTAACCATGGAAGCTTTTTCTGGTTAAACACCTATTAACAGCTTTGTTCTCCAAAATAGTCTGGGAAACAGTGCTGCGTTACCAAGTAGGATGAAATCATTGCCAAAAGAGAACTTCAAATAAAGCACCAAAGGGTAAACCCTCCTCCATGCTGTTTCCCTAATTGCAGAGGGATGAAGAGGGCAGACAGCTGTGTTTGGGACTCAGTTATGCAGTTCGATACCTGTGACCTTGGCCAAGTCAATTAACCTCTCTGAACCACAATTTCTTCAGCTGTGAAAGCTTAATAAACTGTCACAGGATTTCTTTGAAAATTAAATGAGATAGCACAAGGAAGTATCTGGCAAAATGCCTAGAAGGAATCTAATAGGTGTTCAATAAAAGCCTGTTTCTTCCCCCTCTCATTTTATGGAATTCCTGTAACACAGACACGGTCCACATCACTGAGCTGGCACTTACAGGTGGTTAAGTACTGATGGCTCTCCTTCCCATGGGATGCTGCTTGGGGTTTACATCCCCAGTCTTCGAGGCTCACGGAGTGGGTGCTTCAATACATAGCTGATATCAAGAATTTTACAAGTAGTTATTTTTCAAGGAACCCTACCATTTGTGTTCCCTGGTGGCAAGGTGACACCTCTTGAGTTCTTTCTGCGTGATTCCTGAGGCCAACTTTCCATCCAGAGCAGGTGAGTTGCAGAAGCAGGAACTAGATAAGGACAGGCATTCCTGCAGCCAGGAAAGAGGTGATCTGTAGCTGATGTGTTTGTGTGGGTGGTGCTCCCATATGCCTCCACTGGGCGTGCTGGGGTTATGCCCAGCATAACACTTACCGGACAGTCCCTGATCTTGTCTCATTTCCTCACTAGACCTTCCACCTTTTCAGAACAGGAGCAGGGCCTTGTTTATCAGTACCTCCCAATGCCTACCACAATACCCGGCATCAGATGAGCACTCGATAAGTGATGGATAGATAGATGGGCAGATGGTTAGAACAAGGAAGGATGGGGAAGAGGGGGAAGGAAGGAAGGAAGGAAGGAAGGGAGGAAGGAAGGAAGGAAGGAAGGAAGGAAGGAAGGAAGGAAGGAAAGAACTGATCTCAATTCTACTGATATATGAGCTTCATAAAAAGTGTCTTTTTGTCCCCTGTTAGTCACTGCTGTATCCAACGGGACTAAAACAGTGCCTGGCACTAACAGAGACTAAATAAATATTTGTTGAATGAACAGATGAATAATTGAATAAACTAAGCTGAGCTACCCATTTGGAAAATTAGCTGTAAACAATTACTACTCACTGACAAATCAAATTGCTCTCATATTATTTCCTGATCTGCTGATTCCTCAAAATTATTAGGACAGTTTAACATTCACGCAAGTCAAAGTGAAAGCTGAGAGACAGTAGCAAATATGAAGGTCTCCTAGGGGTCAGGCAATGTACAAAGCTGAGGGACTACAAGACGTGGCCCGGCCCTCCAGGAGCCACAAAGACCTAGAACCACGCCTCAGCTCAACGCAGTGGGTTGACAGCAGCAGGAGGAAAAGGAACAAGCACCTTCTGTGGCTTCACACATCGCAGAGCAGGGCTGAGCCACCCCAGCTAGAGTGCGCTCGGGGAGGAAAGCAGAGAATGACAGTCTCAATTAATCCCTTCATGATCCTAATGTCAAAAATGTAAGCCTTTTATGATGCAGTAAAACTATTTTTATGGGTTTTTCCATCCGTCTCATGTCTTGATGTATTTTTTAATCAAAAAGGATAAGAACAAGAAGTCAAGTGGGTATAAATCTCCTGCTCATTTTTCTGGTTCTCTGCCCAGGGAGGAGAGACAAGCCCCACAGTGCCCCACAGGAGATTCTGTAGTGCTTCCTCTTCTCCCTGGGAGTATTTCCGAGAAAGAAGCCTATTATTCCTGGTTTGGAGAGCTGGGCCTTGCTTTAAACAACAGACACATTCTCTAAAGACTACATGTAAATGAAATCTCAGTAAATCAAAACCTCACGTTTCCAATAACTTATAGGTTTATCATTCTTGATTTCTGATGGTCTGATGACGAGACCCAAAAAAAAGTGTTCTTGCATGAAATGTGCAAATCAGAATAAAGCACAAACAAGGAAATAAAATTACCTGTATTCTTATCACCTAGAGGTAATTTTAAAATGCAATCTTAGACTTTTATTCCATATTGAGATACAGATACATATTCTGACAAAAAAAGGGTAATGGTAGAGGCACTATGTAACCTACTTTTACAGCTGATCTATAAATATGTCATCAGCATTTACTCATGTCAATATTCTACCTTTTATTTACTAGTTCCATTAGCATTCTGCTCTATGGACACACTGCAATTTAACAAGTTCTTGATTTTGGATGCTGGATTTGTTTTCAACATTTTATCACAAATAATGATAAATATCTCCCATAATTTCTCATCTCCCATAATTTCTTAGAAATAAAATGGCCATGTCACATACATGCATATTTTTAAAATTAGATACATTTTGTCAACTTGTCCTGCAAAAATGCTTTGGCCATTTTTACTACCTCTAGCAAGAAAAGAAGTCCTTACATTTTTATCTTTACCATCACTGGTGTGTGTGAGTGTGTGTGTGTGTGTGTGTGTGTGTGTGTATGTGTATATATGTATAATTTATATATATGTATATATACGTGTATATATACACACGTATATATGGTAGTGTTTAATTCCTGTTTTATTTTTCATTTTTTGATTAGTCACAAAGTAGAATTTTTTCCTATGTTAATTGGCCTCTGGATTTCCTGAAGCAAAGGATATCCATGTTCTTTGCCCATTATTTTTTTCTTATTGATTTATAGCAACATTTTACATACTGAAATACTGATGCATTATTTTTCATCTATGATGTACATCTTCCCTAGAGTAGTTTCTTTTGACGTTTTTGTTTTTAAATGTTTATTTATTTTTGAGACAGAGAGACAGAGCATGAATGGGGGGACGGTCAGAGAGAGAGGGAGACAGAGAATCAGAAGCAGGCTCCAGGTTCTGAGCTGTCAGCACAGAGCCTGACACAGGGCTTGAACTCACGGATCGCGAGATCACGACCTGAGATGAAGTCGGATGCTTAACCGACTGAGCCACCCAAGCGCCCCTCGACGTATTTTTTTTAAGTGTTTTGTCTCGTCTCTTCATCCACCCTCCCAATTTTTACTTGTAGTTTCTCTTGTCTCCTTACTTATCAAATAGTTATTGGTAAAATGACAGGAGAGAAAACCACCACCGTTCACTCCAAGTTTATCAGTAATTTATCTATGGGATGATCAAAGGAATTTTCTTCAAGGTGGTAAACTTCATCCCTTAGAGCAATCACCAACCCAAGGAGATGCTGGCAGTTAATGTAGAAATTGGTCCCTACAGAAACCTTGCCAGTTATCTTAGCAAAGTCAGGCAGCAGCAGCCCATTTAGAACAATACAATTTTGAGGGACATGGACATCACCAACAGAGTTGAGAATTTGGAGTTCCTCAAGGGACTCTGAGTTTCTGGGTCAGTAAGGCCACTTCCTGCATGTTAAAGGAGGGTCTCGCCTGTAGGGAGATGTTAATCAATGAGTTACTTCCCCTAGAGAAAAGTTCCTCCATGAGCAGAGAAATCAGAGTAAAAAGACCCTTGTCTCTGTTAATGGAAAGCTGGCTTTGTTGTTCCTCAAAATGATGATGCCAAGAGTCTGAGCATTGGTGCAGCTCCCAGTTGGTGGGGACAGGTATGGTGCCCTCTCCACAGGGTGCTGGGAAACCAGCAAAGCAGAGATCCCACCTGAGATAGGATGGGCCTTACAAGGTCTTGGAGCAAACCAACCACTACAGAACCAGAAACTCCACCGTTGATCTTTTACTGTCATGTCTCTTGTGGTTCCATTTATGAATTACATTTCCCCACTACTTTCTAATTGCAAATTTTGAATCTTTTTGAAAGACTTGTCTGGTGTGCATTGGGTTTGGCTCACACTTGGGCCAGGGCATTAAGGGTTAAGTGGTATCGTCCCAAGGGCCACCAATATGGTAGCAGTGAGAGCGGGGAGAAAGACTCTAACGGAAGGTCAAATTCAGAGGCCCTCTACCCTTTCTTAGAAAAGGCATTGGTACTTCCACAGCCACCCTGGAGATCCAAGATTCCATTTTATTAATGAGAATGCTTTCCTGCACAGCCAGCAGTCCAGCAAAGCTTGGGGATACATTGATTTAGGGGATGGGAAGGCATGAAAAACTGGCCACTGAGTTCTCATGCCCAGAGGACTGAGCACAAGGTAGTTTACGGACAGGGAGGAAAGGATAGACAGAAGGAGGATAAGGCAGTGAAGAGGCAGGCTAGAAATCAAGATACAGAAGCTTAAAGACAGATGGGAACAGGTGAGAGTGGGTGGGGCAGTAGCCACAGGCGGCTGAGGGAGAGAACTGCACCA